GGATGGATGGACAGATGACTGACTGAGGAAAGAAACTAGAATACTTACAGTTAATATTAGTTAGGAAAGGAATATGATAATACATGATAGGCATGCTTGGTGCTGCCTTATAAACTTCCTGCAAATAGTCAGCTAATGCATCTGTAAAAGGCATGATTTACTTTAGTAATGACCAAGAAAAATGAGAAGAAAAGACACAAACTAGCAGAACCTGGAGATCCTGCTTTGTAGTATGATGGCGGCAGAACTGCAATACTATGTGCCCCTATGTCTTGTGCATGCCTTGCCTGTGGTAAATTAACAACATTATGTATTAGGGGACTTGCCATAGAGTAAAGGAGGTTTGGGGGGAGGGGACTGGATTTTAGGGAGCTCTTTGTTTTGCTGGCCCAGTATAAAAGGAGGACAAAAAAAGATGATGCCCTCTTAAGTTTTCATGCAGGAAATGAAAAATGACCCACCCCTAATGTAGAGTTTTATAGACAGCCCACCCCTTTTAACAAGTTCAAAATTGTGTGACCAGTCCCATACATATTAGAAGAGCCTTCAAAATGTTGTTATTTTCCTATCTACCTCCCCTCCTATGATAAATGATAAACAGTACATTACTAATTGCATGAAAACTATGCTTAATGGTCCCAGCCTGTGCTCCCCAATGAAGAATGAAATAGTCGAATAATTTCTCAAATGATATGTTTATACTAACCAGCTCCTGTGTATCCTTGATGCTCTCTGCACCAACCTGAATAATTACATACTTTAACCTTTTAAATGGAAAAAGCAAAGAATTTTTTAAGCAAAGGACAGTATAATGAGATTGGGAGTGAGCTAATGAAGTATATTAATCACAGAATATTATCAATAAAAGAACTGTCAGAAATCTCTCATTTTGATAATTGTTCATTATTAAAGCAAAYGACACCAGAGGCCAGAGTAGGTCTTGGAACATGCTCCGAAGAAAGTTCTTAAAATGTGGTATCCAGAAATATGTTAGATTTCCTGCATTCTGGGGAGATATCTTGGACAAAAAAAAGGTAAAAATGAATCCCAAAATAAAAGGGGGAACATGGCCCCATCTGCCACCCCACCCCTCTTAAATCTATCTATGTATTACACTGTCTATTTTGTTCCTAACACTTCTCTTGTGTTCTGGCAATCCCTCATTCTGGCAATGACTGCTTTTTTGAATTTCTTTATAGGACCAATCAGGATCACTTTGGTTCAGGGGCAGATTCAAGGGAGGGGTGCAGGGGGTGCGTACCCCTCCCTGGTTCGACTTTGTGCCCCAGCTTCGAAGATAACCAATACTGTTTTTTYCCTTTGATTCTAARGGGTGCACCCCTCCCTGGGTTWACTTTGTGCACAGCACCCCTCCCTAAATAAAATCCTGGATCTGCCCCTGTGGTTGTAGACAAAAATACTTAATTGCATAAATTTTACAATAAAATTAGTTGCAAAATCTCATAATACATACTTGTCTTTTGCTGCATTAACCCATATCTCGGCTAATTTTTTCCTTTCATCAACAGAAAATAGTAGGCACTCACCAGAGGTGCCGTTCACTGCATTAGGTAAAATAAAAAATCATTATCTAATGCTTCTTATAATGTGTCTGTGTGACATATTGTGAACACTGGAGTTGTGTAAACCTTGGTCTGAAGTACTTGAATAAACTGCATTGTGAATTGTTGCAATTACATTAAATGTTTACTGCTTTTCATTAAATTAGTCATCCCCTCCCCCTCCCCCTGTTATTGCCCCTCCTTCCCTTTACTGTATGCCCATAGTCTTGTTTATTATAGCAGTTAATATGGATGCATGCAAATGAGATGCAAATGAGACAACAAGCATTGTATCAGCCTGATAGCCTAACTTGGATGATACTTTAAACAAAAGAATATTTCATCGATGGCTCAACTGTAATAACAGATTTTCTCAGAGCTATTCAACTCAGAGGACAAAACAACGAAATTCAACTCTCATGAGAGTTGGTTTTTATTGTTTTGTCCTCTGAATTGAGCTGGGTTGGGAATATCTTGAAAGGGGTCTATATATAATTACTTATTCAAATCTTGGAATCATTTCTTATCATCTGTAGACAAAAAATTATTTCTCACCAAACACTCCTTGGCTGCCTCCTTGTACAAGGTAATCCACATACTTAGGTATCACATCTAAATTTATCTCTCTGCAAATATGCACAGGGTTAGTACATTGTTTCTATTATCATGCATATCAATTTATCTCCCTGTATATGTACAGAGTTAGGACGTTGTTACTATTATATGCATACTAATTTATATATATTCAGATATACAATCACTTGCCATCGGAGTATTGTATATTGCTTATGAAACATCTAGGTGTATACATTCATGTTCTACTATAATTTTTAAGATAAAGTTGAATTTGGCTAAGAAAATTGGAGTTAAAGTTTATGAAAATCAGGAGGATTTGGTATCAGATATACAACCTCCTCCACGGACAATGATTTCTATTGTGTTTTCCTTATTAATTATTCATGAGTTTCATAAAGACTCCTATCAATAGTATCATGAGGAAATTATAAGAATAATAAAATAGGAACAAAAGCTTTATATTCATATAGAAAGGAGGCTATATAAGTCATAAATCATTAATTTATAATTAAATGCCATTTACGAATTCCTACCCATTTTCGTGGAGTGGCGTAAATGGAGGAGTGATAAGTCCCTCAATCTGAAATAAGAACAAGGAGTCTTTAAAGCTTCAAACTTAACTTTATAGAATCAAGAACATGTTGACCTTTAATACCTTGGGATTTGCCATGTTACACGTGACTAATTCTTCTAAAAGGCTTCAAATGCAGCCGAAACTTGACCAAAAGATGAATAAAAAATAAGAAGACGTCTAGTGGTAAAACTTTTAGTAAAAAGCAGATTTTTAAAAGACCTCAAATGTTGCTTAACTTTAAAGTGTATTAATATGGAAATTCTTCCGTCAATGGATGCGCGGGCTTTCTGTGGTTTGTGAAAGTGAAGTAGCCTAAGGCCGAATGAGCAAAGCGAGGCTGTAGTTCCCAAGTCTCCTCTCCTGTCCTAGTTATCATCCATGAGAAGTGATCACAAGAATATTGCTGCAAGGAAGTTGTTGTCTTCTGTTTGGCGCTAATAGTTTTTTCCCGTGATCTTCGGTTACTAAAGGCCTTGAAATAGGCCAAGTAGGAATGAATGCTGCCATTAAGGAAGAATGTTGACCTCTTTGACGATTCTGACGAGCATCACAACACCTCAAACTCAGTGGATAATTCCTACTCTGCAACCACGTCGGAGAATAACAAGAAAAGAAAATTAACTAGTGAAGTTAAAAACGGGACCAGAACTGTGGATGCGGTCCAAGGTGATCTAAACCTTCCTCTCTCTAAGAGGCAAAAGTCTGAGTACAGTGTAGGAAAGTCGGAAGGATCTACGGTTCTGATGGCGGATCAAGAAAAGAGAGCTTTCTCTAAGTATGGAAACCATTTTAATCATGAATGGTCGCCAAATATGAGTATGGCCAATTCCTCGACGAAGCCAGGTCAAGCCAAGAAGCTGGTTATAAAGAACTTTAAAGGTAAATGTTCAACTAGCATCAAAAGTTCATTATTATATAGTAGTCCAAATATGTACCAAAGTCGAAGGCTTCATTTAGCTGTTATTAATGTAAGCATAAATGCTTTTATGATTTTATCTTTACTTTGATTCGTTCTAGTAGTATTTTGATACATTTTACTCGTCCTTAATGCCTTTCGAGTCACTCTTTTTTTATCACCAGTATCTTTTAGAAAAGTATTTATCAGTACTTCTTTGTATGAGTATCTTCTGATTTTACGAAAAACATTATTTTGTTTTAAGAATTGACATACGTAAGCTTGCATATATATATGATTGTATAATAAACATTTTGGTTTTCATCATCAGATCTTTCCTTTACATGAAACTTCTAACTTATATATTACATTTGGTATAATTGTTAACACTTTTGAATTCAGAGTGTCAAAGTTTGTACATGTAATTGTACGAAGTACATTATCATAAAAAGCTAACAATAGCTAAAGAGGTGCAGGTATTTACCTTTAAAGCTAGGGAAACAGCATGGTCCACACAAACTCAAATTCTCTGTTGCATCTCATCCTGCTTCTGTAAAAAACGTTAACTGATTGACATTTCTCGACCCAAAATCTTGACTGTACAAACAATATTTCTTATATGATTCTAATGTTTTCCACACACAGCAAAACCAAACTTGCCTGATAATTTTCAAGAAGCAACATGGATGAAGCTAAGAGAGGCAGTCCAAGCAATTCACAAGAAAACTTCAATAGCATATAGTCTAGAAGAACTGTATAAAGCAGTGGAGAACATGTGTTCGCATAAGATGTCTGCTATCTTATATGATCAACTCAAGGCTGAATGTGAGCAGCATGTTCGATCCAATATTGGCCAGTTCACTGGATATCCTTTTTTTAAAACATATAAGAATTCATATGCATTGTTTATAAAACCAATATACCGTTTTCTCGTGTGCATCCAAATTTAAAGAACTTGACGGGCCATGATACCAGAACAGGAGCTTTATAATTAGAATTGTCATACATTTTCTATGAATTTTTTTTCTATAAAAATTCATAAAATTGATTATTCTCCTCTTTAAATATAAAACTGGCTTCTCAATTTTACTAAATTTTCGTTTTTCAATTTTGTGGCCCGTCAAGTTGGATGGGCCCGCAACCTTGAGAAAATGGTCTATTGCAAAATCATTGTCATAAAAAACATAAAAAGCTGATACCAAAATTGTACATGCTAAGTACATTAATTAATCCCATTTTATCTAGTGACTCATAAACCTTTTCTGAGAAGCATACATGGTGCATGGTGGTCTAGTTTTGGTTCAAACATATTTCATTCATCATGCCTTATATTACATTATATTATATTATATTTGGTACATTGTTTGTACCAAAGCTAGACCACAATGAATCCTGTTTATCAAACTCTGAATAGGCCTATGAGATCTCAAGTGGGTGGCCATTACCTAGAACGGACTCATAGTGTCCTTTTTAGATTTTACCTTATCCTTTTATGGCTAAAAATATCAGCCAATCATATAACAATGTCTGGGCAGAATTAAAACATGTATCAAATCTTTGCTTTGCCGGCCATTTTGATAAGTAATATTGAGCAAGAAAGGAGGTAAAACTAATTTGGCCATTCATTTACCAGCAACTGACCAATCCACCCCCTGGATCTGCCATTGTTGTAGTCTGTGCTATGACATAAGAATGCATGGTAGCCAATCAGGAAGTAAGATATCGAACAGTTATTTTTTGATCTTGTTCCTTCATTGTATTTTTTTATCCTTAACTATTATCAATGATGCTATGGATAGCCTACTATATTTAACCAATCTAAATCATTGCTGGGAAGACCACTGTAGACAAATGGTAAGAAACTTATTATTTTGTCGCTCCGAACTTATTGGAGATTGTGATATATAATGTCGCATGTATTTTCTCTCTTGTAGATTATGATCAGAAGTATATTTCTATATCTGGACAGGACATATGTTTTACAAAACACATCTATATTGTCATTATGGTAAGAAATACAAAATTAAATTATTCATAATTGACCAAGCCCTGACTTAGATTAGCCCAGTGGTTGTGTCAAGGTTGGCTCTGTGAGTTAGCTTTGCACTGACTTTGATCAGCCCAGAGGTTGTTTTAGGGTTGGATCTGTGAGTTAGCCATGTCCTGACTTAGATCAGCCCAGAGGTTGTTTCAGGGTTTTATCTGTGAGTTATCCATGCCCTGACTTAGATCAGCCCAGAGGTTGTTTCACGATTTGATCTGTGAGTTAGGTGTGCCCTGACTCAGATCAGCCTATATTGTTTCAGGATAAATTTCAAAAAGTTATAAACTGGTTAGTGTATAATAATTGATAATATTAGCATCTGTTATACAATGATATTTGTGTGTACTGAGTATTGTTGATCTAATAGGGACATGGGACTGGACCTGTACAGAAAACACATCATGAGTAATGAAGTGGTACAGACAAGAACGGTCGAAGGATTATTATTGCTAATAGCAAAAGAAAGGTATGACTGTATGCCGAATCCAAATGCTGTGTGGCAAGCAATTTGAATAAGTATTGTTCTGCGCTGACTAGCAACTGACTAGCCTCATGTTAATGTGGAAACCAAAAGAATTTTCACGTTTATGAGAGTTAGTCAAGTTGCAATAGCTATTCAAATTGGTTGCCATACAGCATTTTACCAATTATTGGTCCCCATATTTGGATTCTGTGTATTGCTTGACTTATTAATACATTATATTGCTTTACATAAATTTCTTAACTAAAACTATTTTGTTTTACTAGACATGGAGAAGCTGTGGACAGATCTCTCCTTAAGAGTCTGTTAAGAATGTTAGCTGATATTCAGGTACCCACGTAAATGTTGATGAGAATTTTTCACACCAGGGCTCAAACGTTGCGCAGTAACAAAAGAATATATCAGGCATCATATTTTACAAGTTGACCTTATCCTTATCTTTTCTGTTACAAAAAGTGCTGGAAATGATATAGTTTGGCTTGTAACTTTCGAACCCACAAGCTTTTTTTATTGCAAAATCTTCTAAGGCTCATGAATTTCTTTAAATTGATTTGATTTTACCTTGGTAGATGTATGGAGATTCTTTTGAGTCAAAATTCTTAAAGGCAACAGATGTGCTGTATGCAGAGGAAGGCAACAGATATATGCAGGAAACAGATGTAAGAACTATCTCTTTTTTTCATTAATATTTTATCTTTTTAAGCTTCAAACTTCAGCTCATCTAAAGGCCAAAGTATTAAAAAGATAAATATACCACCCAGACATAAAATATCTCTTTATCTGGCATGTAGCTACCACATGTAAATGGGTGGGCCACTACAGGTCTAAAAATAGCAGATACTCAATGGCCAAACAATAATGACTGCTCACATCAAAACATGGTAACATGTGACCAGCTATTATGATTGGTCAAGAGCCATTGGGCCGAAAAAGTGCCATGTTTGGCAAGATATTGTCTGTTGAAGTCCTGGCCATTATTTTTAGGGCCCTGCAATTAAGTCATCGGCAGGAATGTCTAAACTGAGTAATTCTAAGTATATTTTATTGCTTCAGTGATCACTTTTCTTTTCTTAATTTAGGTCCCTAAGTACCTTGCACATGTAGACAAAAGAATACAAGAAGAAATGGACAGATTAATGCATTACCTGGACCACTCTACAAGGTATATACAGTACTATATTATTTAGACATGGTTATGGGGTATTTAAAATGGACATGCAATGCTATAACTTCGCAGACTAAGAAGGTTTGTTCTAATAATGTGTTAAACAGAGATATTTTCTCTTTTTTTCCTCCAGGAAACCTTTAATCCTTTCAGTGGAAAAACAGTTGATTGGACAGCACCTTTCAAGTATATTACAAAAAGGTAGGTTGACACCATTTATTCATTTCCATTCAGTTCAGTTCAGCATCTCTCCTTGTAGCAAAGTAATAGAGAGGCACATGTGTGCTGTGTGCAGTAGAACATGAGAGAATTATTAAGAGAAGCATGTTGATTAGTGTGTGTGTGTGTGCGCTATGTGCTCTCATAAAACACTCCAATCCAATCATAGTGCAAGATTCATAGCATTTATTTTATAAAGATAATGTATTAATATGATTTTATAATATAATTACAGGTTTTGATAGTCTGATGATAAGTGATCGTAGATCTGACCTGGCTCTCATGTACCAATTGTTCTCAAGAGTCAAGAAAGGAACAGAAGAGTTATGCAAGGCTTTCAGTTCCTTTATTAAGGTAGCTATGCTTGTTTCCATAGCAACTATAAGCAGCTTTGTTTGCCTGCTGACCAGCAAGTTAGAAGAATATTAAAATGTCAATGCAAGAATATTATACTCACAAGAGTTTGTTGTGGGTTGAGTGTGAAGGTTACAATGTCAAGGGTTTCATGTCAAGGGTCACTATATTGAAAGTTAAGAAAATACTTGAAATACTGTACTTTTTCTTATCTTTGAAACAACTAAGCCATTTTTGCATTAAAAACAAAATTCATAACCATTACATTAACACATCTTATCAGTTTACACACTTGAAGAACCATTAGTTTTCAACTTTTTTGTACAATGTACAACTAATTCTTTATTCGTTAAACGTCTTTATTCTTAAATACAGAAACAGGGAATGAGTATTGTTCTAAACCCAGAGAAAGATAAGACAATGGTACAGGAGCTTCTTGACTTCAAGGATCAGTTGGATGGCGTCATTGAACAATCCTTTTTAAAAAGTGAAAGATTTGTTGTTTCTATGAAGGTAATTTGTTGTTTTTTGCTACCTGTTTGAGGTTTTCCTGCTTCTAAATAATTAACTTTGGGGACTAAAAATCTCATAAATATTTCGACAACTCTCCTATATACGTTTTGCCCCATCACTTGTCAGCAGCCAAATTAGATGGCAGGAACAACACAAGATAAAAAATAGTATTTATTACGAGAAAAATAATTCAATGCTTGTAAATAAAGCGTTTTTATTTTCTGGCATCCGAGAAATGTCTGCTGGCAAATGATTGTGCAAAACCTCTAATTTATACCCCCCTCCCCCCGACCAAAAAAAGTTTTTAAACATGTCTTTGTATATTTTTTTTACGATAGGAGTCCTTTGAAGCTTTCATCAATAAGAGACCAAATAAACCAGCTGAGCTGATTGGTAAGTTACCTTCTCTTTTCTCAGACTATTCTTCAGCTTCTTCTTCCAGCCTTGACTTGATAGCACATTATTACTGATCCAATCACTTTTATTTTGTAGCAAAATTTGTAGATTCAAAGTTGAGAGCTGGAAACAAGGTAAATGATCACAGTCATTTAAACAGGATTTGATTCCTTATCTATGCACTCATTGAGACAAGAGTGGCGGCATGAAATCGGGTAACAGACTATCGTCAATCAAAGACAGTACCTTTACATACTCTGATCGATGACAGTGTATTGAGCACCCCATTTCCCTATCACAACTGTTGTCTCAATTAGGGTGTAGCAAATTAAACGGTAGTAAACTAGTCCTTGGCTAACTTGGATATTTCTGTTGAAATATCAAAATGAATAAAATAAAGTAAAATATTTTCTTGCTGCTGAATGGAAACTCATACACACAGATAAGAACCAGAGAGATTTTGCTAGGGGTATAGATTGTATTACTTAGTTATATATATCTTTTCTTCACAGGAAGCAACAGAGGAGGAGCTTGAGAAGCTGCTTGACAGGATAATGGTATTATTTAGATTCATTCATGGTAAGTCATTCATTCAATCAACATAACTAAGGACAATAATTTAACCAATCTATTTAGTGTGAGGATATTCATAGTCAACAGTTTTCATGTTTTGTTTATCATTTTATAATATTTACTCTCATGTCAGATTAATGGTGGATACAGAATGCTTCCAAGGGGGTGACTGTTACCTAGAAAGGCATTACATAGCATCCTTTTAGATCTTACCTTAACCCAAAGAGTGCAGACTAGTCACTCAACCCCCCCCCCCCCCCATTCCCCTTGTCTCCACCTTTGCAGATGTACTCGATGATCTATTTCAATTGCAGGCAAAGACGTATTTGAAGCATTTTATAAAAAAGATCTTGCCAAAAGGTTATTGGTTGGGAAAAGTGCATCAGTAGATGCAGAGAAGTCTATGTTATCTAAACTAAAGCAAGAATGTGGTGGCGCATTCACAAGTAAACTTGAAGGCATGTTTAAGGACATGGAACTCTCTAAAGATATCATGCTTCAGTTTAAACAAGTGAGTAGAAAATTAAATGACAGCTGCTTAGGGAAAATTCAAAATTTATGGGGGAGAGGGCTATGGGGATTTTACTGTTTGAAATAATACTTTTTTGGGTAACCCCCCACCCCCCCCCCCCCCACTCACTCAAACATAACATATTTTCATTGATCACCAAACTCCCCAAATCACAGGCTTTTAGTTGACACAAAATATCATAAATATCTTAAATGGACTATTATTATTTAATGGATGATCACCTTAAATTGCAAGGCATTGGTTGCACAAGGGACAAAACTTTTTAGATGCTGAAAATATGCTAAAATGACAATTCAGTGATCATTGAGAAAACTCTTTTTGTGCTCATTTTTGAATCCATCTGTTGTCAAATTGAACTGATAATGTCTGTCGTCATCATTACTGTAACAAAGCTTTGTCCATTTGCCCTCTGGATTACCCATGATGCCTTGTGATTCAAGATGGCTGTTGCATTGGTATTGACACATGTTGGCTGGTCATACATAACACAGTTACCAACGAGATGTAAATAGCAAACTTGATAGCTGCTGTTTGATGTACGACTTATTTCGTTACCATCCATTACTCTCTTGTCAATACTATTGTTTGTTACCTTTTGACCATTCTTTTTTTTTGCTCAACCTTATTTTCTTCAGCACATTCAACATCATAATTTGCCAAGTAATATAGATATGAATGTCAGCATTCTAACCATGGGATACTGGCCTACATACTTGCCAATGGATGTACATCTACCCACTGAGGTAAAAATCACTATTAGAATATTATGAAATATTAAGTGATGGTACATTAACCATTGCCATAGAGAATTCCAGGTCACCCTCCAATGAGAATACTGTCTATTTGTCTTTTTTATAAATGGTACTTTTGATATTGCAAATAAGAAAAATGCGGCCAAGAATGAAATGCTATACAGAGGACTACCGTGTTCTTGCCATGAGCATTTCACAGTCATACGATAACTGCTGTATAGCCTATATGCCATGAAATGAAAATATACAGTTTGTCTTAATGATCTAAATCAAATGACACTCAACATGTTCTAGATGGTTCAATATCAAGAGACATTCAAGAGATTCTATCTTAGTAAACACAGTGGTCGCAAACTACAGTGGCAAAATACTCTTGGGCATTGTGTCGTCAAGGCTGATTTTATTGAGGTGGGTATATCGACAAAAAAAAATCTTTAGTACTTATGTGTCAAGCTGCATAGTTGGGTAGCTTTTGGTATTTCTGGCCAGGACCTTAACCTAACTAACTAAAAAACCTAACTTTTCCATGGGCACTTTTCATGTGGCAGCCATGTGTCATAAACTTGGGTTGTAAAGCCATATAACTCGTCTGCGACGTAAAGCTTACCAGTCAATAGTCTATTGTCCCTCAAACATGCCTGCCAGATGAAACTGCCAGTTTAAATAAGTAAAATAAATTATTTGAATTTATAAACCAAACGAACTCAACGCCATAAATCGAAAAATATAAATAAGATGTTTGTTTTTTTAGGGCTCGAATGGTAATCCCCAAGAGAAGAAGGAGCTTCAGGTGTCACTTTTCCAGACACTTGTTCTGTTGCTATTTAACGAAGGCAATGATTACACTTTTGAAGAAATCGCTCAAGCTACAGGTGTAGGTTAGTAACACTTAAGAGGAAAGGTCAAAGACAAAGCAAGAAGAAACTTAAAAAACAAAGCAAAAAGAAAGAAAAACGAAACAAATAAAGAAATCATGAGAAATAAATCAAAAAACAAAAACAAAAACAAAAAAAAAACAAAAACAACAACAAACAATCCAAGCAAAACCAAAAAAACCCAGATGTTGAACATGTAGAGTGAAGTAATTAAACCCGTGCAATAGATAGTTGACTAACACTCATTAGTAGACCGTAATTCCATTTTTTTCTCTTGTGTCTATTTAACTATTACACGTTGACTAATAATTTTTATTTCACGGGTTAAATGCCTTCAATCTAACTTGTTATGTTATCATCATGAACTCGCAAAATGCGGGAGAAATTTTGTATTTAGCAAGTGGCAAAAAATTTAACTAGTTAAGTTTTGCGAGTATGGCCACAGTCCAGAAATTGAAGGACTGAAAAGTTTAGAACCTACATCATGCAAGTTAAGCTTGTTATTCAGCGCGTCCGTGACTTTGAAATTTTTGCTAATGAGAACAAAACTTACTAGCAAGGACTTGCTAGTGGGTTTAAAAGTTATTTCGTGCACTGTGTAATAAGAACATCCATTTGTTTTGCAGAGGATGGAGAACTGAGACGAACGCTTCAGTCACTTGCATGTGGGAAGGCTAGAGTCATTAAAAAAAGACCCATGGTAGGACTCCATTTAAGATTTGATTTACACTACAAATACACATGTTTTTTGTTGCATACCTTAGTGACTGATTTGAAGTCTTCAACTAATGCTCATTTGAAAATATATTGTATGTTTAACAGGGCAAAGAAATCGATAATGGTGACGTGTTTAGTTTTAACAAAGATTTCAAGCACAAGTTAATACGTATCAAAATTAATCAAGTACAAATGAAGGAAACGGTAAGTCAGCTAGTCAAATACAAAATAGTGCAAAGCAAATCTCCACCAACCATCAACCATCAATTAGATATCTTACGTACCTTCATAGTGATTATGGAGCTTGTGACGTTACTCTTATGAAAAAAACGACTTCCAGGTTCAAAACGAAAACCAGTTATGTAAAGATTTTTCTTACTCTTTCTTCGTGACAAGATTTGTTGCCCAAAGTTTTAATTATTTCAGGTGGAGGGTAAATCATCGAGAACATTTTTTAGCAATTTTTTAAGTAGTTGGACCCAGAAATATGTCGTAACTTTAAAACCCCTATATGGATTTTGTTTTCACTTATTCACAAACAGAATGACCAAAAGGAAAAGATCGCAGAAGATTGAATAAAGAGTACACATATGTGTTCAGATGTTCAAGCGACATTTCGTTATCTCTATTTATAAAAATGATCAATTTACACTGATTGTTTTATTTAGCCTGAAGAAAACGTGAACACTACAGAAAGAGTATTCCAAGATAGACAGTATCAGGTACGACATGTGACGCTTTTCTACTAGCTCCTTCTCAGTCTCCCTCCTTCTATTACATAGTTAGATTCGGGGGGGGGGGTCCCAAAAATGTGTCCAAACGATACCTATTCTTTATTTCTTTATATAAAATGAAATTGTAATTTTTGTACATAGATCAACCAGAGTGGTACTTCTTTCTTGTTATTCATTTTTATGATATTTATTTTATGTGATACCTTTCTTTAGATCGACGCTGCCATCGTGAGGATAATGAAGACTCGTAAGACACTCAATCACGCTCTCTTGGTGTCAGAAGTATACAATCAGCTCAAGTTTCCTGTCAAGGTGAGTAAATTAAGTATTACTTACATGTAACCCTAAGTAGATCAGTTTTTATAGGGGGCCTAAAATTTAAAAATGTAGTGGATATTAGCAAGAAAGGACTGGGGTACCCCTCTCTCTTTCCGTCGTCCTTGAACGCTGCTGTTAAAGACTTATTCAAGTAACAGCTTTGGGGGTAACTCATTTGTCATTCCCTAGAGTATCATTTGCATGAGAAGACACATTAATTATATGGAAAAAACTCAAAGGAAGAATCTTACTCTCCAGAGAATGACACTTGGCCTGAAATGGGAAAGTATTATGCCCAAGTGGATTTGGTCCATTACCCCTTTCCAAAAAATAATAATAATTGCATGTCCCTATGTCCTTTAGCGTCCATAAACCTTTTGACTAAAATAGGACGAGTTTTTAGAAAGATAGCAAATTTCTTTTTGTACCGGAGAGCTTTGAGGTAAAACCTACTATTTAACACTGTTTAAACACCAATTATTTAACACTGTTTTCGAGAAAGTACTCATGTCTTTGCATTCTGTTCAACTGCAGCCCACAGATCTAAAGAAGCGAATCGAAAGTCTCATAGAACGTGACTACATGGAGCGTGACAAGGAAATAGCCAATCAGTATCATTATGTTGCGTGATGTCTGCAAGAGATCTGTATCTATTGATGGTGTTTTTTCAGTTATTGTGAAGCATCACGCTATATTTACAGTGTTTGTGTTCCGCTAATTCATACTGAGGAATGTTAGACTTGTCAGCCAGCAAGTCGATACCTGTAGTCAAGTATGACCTTCATCGTGGCAAGTTATTACTCTAGCTTTGCAGATATCTGTGCCTTCAACGACTACAAACACTTATTGATCAATGTCACCTTACTTGAACCGCAGTATATAGGAGAAAGCTTTATTACCAACAAGAAACTATTGCATATCATTGTCACTTTTCTTTAACCAATCTGGCAAAACTGAACTGAATGAATGATAACCAGGTCGTATTCCTAATGCTCGTAAAGTCTTTTTAAATCGTTTTGCAAAAGCTCAGCTTATTGTGTGACCAACTCTACCATCAATAGTACTGACTCGACTCCTACTTAAGAAAGGGTAAAACTTAGTATTAGCACCCATTAGGACGTTTGCATGATGGCGATTATTTGACTCCAACTACCAAGATGCTTGGCAAATTTTCTTTCTTATTCCAATTCGTGTTGCCTCAAGAGAAAAGTAAGACAATTGGTGGTTATTAACTAAACAAAAAAACGTGTGCAAGGCATTCTGGTAGTGGTAGTCAAATGACGTCATCATGCAAACGTCCTATACAGGAATATATTTGAGTTTACTTAGTACTAATGTACGTCTGACGTGCTAGGTGGGTTCTCCCAGACAACAGAGGGTTACTAGTTGCAGAGCTGTACCCAAAGGGAGGGTTGCTGAATCATTTGAATAGAGCTTCTCTTTATCTGATAAACACTTGATAAACAAATATGATGAATAGCATAAAATACTCAGTGGAAATAGTCAGAGTTGAAAGCATTAATAAACTAAAGGACTGTTTTTATTTATATTTGTTGTATTCGATGCTCTTGAAATCTTGTGCCTGGAATGTATGGTGGGTCTTATTAAAGTGCACCTAACCCCCGATACAATACTTTCAGTATTGATTCCACATAAAGTGAATAGTTGAATGGTAAAATATTTCTTCATTTGAATGTTGCGTCTTTAAGATATGAAGGTTTATACTTCCAATATGTTACTGACTGTGACGTCTACCCCAGACTTACTGGCCTTTGAGTGTATTTGGCAAGTTATTGGCTTTGCAGTGAGTGCATTTGTTCTAATTTTAATACCAAACATTAGCCATAATGAGACTTCAAAGTTACGATAAACATAGTGGAAACCTTGAGTATTATGATGATACTTTTTAAATACTGTTTGTTTGAACCAGTCAAAATGTGTATATTTAATGAATAATCAAGTAAAGAAATATTTCACCATTCAGCTATTCACTTTATGTAGAATTAAAGTGCACTTTAAAGGTCCATTTAAATAACACGGTTGATTTTTGAAGCGATGTGATCACGTGCGAATTTGAAAAAATAAAGAATTGTCTTGTTTCTGACGAGAAATTTGTCCAGGTAATCTTGGTGTCCAGAATAAAACTTTACACTTCAATCCTTTACCATTCTCGCTGCTAAATAGCTTGAAAAATTGCACGTGTAAATGGACCTACCATCATCACGTAAAGCGAGAGCATTGCCTCGCACTCCACTCCAAACGCTTTGATGTCACTGACCCTTACTTCCAATCGAAATATCAAGAAAAAAATTTAACCAGTTATTATTTATTTTTAGACTTATTACTGTCGCCTGTGGCAGCCAAGTCTAAAAATGCGTTCTCCGTATTTTCTTGCGTCAGAAAATGCCAAAATTGCGCAATAGTAACCAGAGGTCTTCACGGCACAAGCCAAGAGTCCTTTGCGGACATATGATACAGAGATCCTGTGTAAAGTCGACTGATTTATATTCAAGTGGCAATTGCCCATCAATGTCTAATTTATTTAAGTGATTGAATGGGGTGGGGGTGCGAATCATGAGTCGGAAATTAATGTCTACGCATACTTTTTTATTCGTTAGTTGCTGAAATTCAAGGCTCAGTGGTGGATTAGGAATTACTCGGAAAAATAAACTGACCAGGCATTTTTCTCTGTTAAATTTCAATTGACGGATTTGGGTACTCAAAATTAGAAAAGCTTCACTATTCTTTATTCTATTCTTTCAAAAATCAAAAAAGAAAAACGGGAAAAAAAGGACTCGAAAAGCGTGGTGAGTAGGTATAATATTTAGGTCACCCATCCAAGTACTAACCTTCCTCAGACGAGCTTGACTCAATATCTTGAACGACAACGATTTATCCACTGGAC